ATAAAAAAGTATGTAAACTGGAAACTTACATATTGCTTTCTTATCATTCTATTTGTGCTCATTAAGCTTCTTCTATGAACAAGCTAGTTTTTCAATTTTGGTTTTCTTACTGGGAAAGCTTAATGAATGAACTAAAATCGTGAGGAAGCAATGTGCAAGTTTCCAATTTACATACTTTTTTCATATAAAATAAAATTTTTTGTCACATATATGTATATGTATGTATGTATTTAATTTGGTATATTCCTTTTGTATATTTCTTTTCGTAAAATTCATAAATTACATTTCTTAAAAAATTCTAAATTTTATAAAAAGTGAACTTTTTTACCGATTCTCATTAAATTTAATATCAACCATTCTTTAATAATACTCTTATTCAAGCAAAAACATTTAATTCGATATTTGCGAAAAAAGTGCACTTAAAAATTCAAAATTTCATAAAAATGAATCCTTTATTTGTTCTTGCCAAATTCAATCATCCATTCATACTTTAATGATATTCTATTTATGTAAAGAAATTTAGTCCAATATCTCAAAATTTACGGAAGTTAGAACATATTTTTAAAAAATTCAAAATTTTGTAAAAAATAAACCTTTTCACCAACCAATTCAAATTTAATATCAATCATTCTTTAATAATAATTTTTATGTAGAATTTATGTAAAAAAATGCATCCCGATATCTAAAAATTTACGAAAGTTAGAGCGACCACAGACATTTTTTGAAAAACTAAAATGCATTAAAATTTAAAATATAAAAAACTATATAAATTTGCATAAAAATGATAATAAAAAAGTAAAAGTGTTGTCAAATTTTTCTAGTATGTCTAATTAGAATATGTAACTCAACATATTATTTTGAGACGTTTAAATTTTCAGAAAAGTTAGTGACACATACATACACATATATGTGTATATGGACATTTTTAAACAAATATGATTTTTTCATGTTTTAGAACATTCTGAACACGTTGGCATAAAAACCTGAAAAAAAATTTTTTCACAAAGACAAAGCTTCTATGAGGAAGCAATAAAATAATTTCTTTTCTATTTTATTATTTCTTTATTCTATGACATGGCAATTTTATTTATTTTTTGTCACGGCGTGAAATCACGTGCGTTTTGTGACCACACTTCGTGCTGCGATATTTTAGAGCGTCGGAAAATCAAGCGACTTTATCGGTGTTCCGATAAGGCGACAGAGAGGTAGAGCGCGCGCGCGACGCTCGTGCTTTATACCGTGACAAGTGCGCTTTGTCGAAGCGAGTGAACACTCGACAATCGACTCGAGTTTCACGCCGCGTCGATGAAGATATATATGACGGAAATGCTTGGCGCCACAGCCGGCGTATCGCGTCGCGTATCATTGACGAGGACGCGCGTGCGAACATTCGGAAAAAAAATTCGTAAGTAGTGAAAGTTTTTTCCGGAAACCTAGCAAGAATAACTGTAGACTGAATTATCGCGATGGTGTAACTGATTAAACGTAGGGAAGATATATTTCATGTGTAACGTATTAGTAAGTGTAAAACACGAAGCGTTGATTTAGGTTAGATTAGGTTAGATATTTATGTTACATGCGTAGTTTCTTTTTCCTATTTATATAGAAAATAAATAATTAATATATTTTTTATATAAATGAATCATTTTTCATAGCATTCACACACGCGCACACAACAGTAATACTTTCAATGTGTTAAAAAATAAATATATCATATATTATATCAAAACAGATAATTTATCTATCATTTACACGTACAGGGTGTCTCAGACCACCCGTACATGCCGAATATTTTGAAAATTGAACACGACAGATAAAAATGTTTTAAACAAAAGTTATAGGGCTTTAACAGATACATAAAATGATGATAAATATTTGACCTTAGCAGCAGTTATGAAAGAAGTCTCAATGTCAATTTTAAAATCGTGTTCAACATATTCGGCATGGGATGATCGGGTGATCTGAGGCACCCTGTATGTATATATGTACATTCAAACAAGAAAATTGAGCTAAACGTCCTAGTCAAGACTTTAATAAGATTTGAATCGCATAAATGGTATAAGAAAAAGCTAAAAAGTATATGTAATTTTAAAAAGAATTATTGCTTTATTTAGAAAATACAATTAATTCGATTCATAGCTCTTCCTAACTTCCCATATCCCCTTCTATCTTTCTCTCATATCGCCAATGCTTTGTGTGTTTCAAACTCAATATTTTATCGCCCTGTAGCTTCGAAACGAAGCAATTTTATCATCAGGAGTATAAATTTTCATAAAATAATCCAAGAAATCGCCCCTTGAATTTTTGACATATGTTTAAGAAACACCCTCTATATTATTTACTATACATGTAGAAAGATTAATTGCGCATTGCCAATATTCCGGCTACTCTTTACACGCAGAAACGAAAAGCCTTTTCTTCAACAAATCTTCATTTTTGTTTTTTGAAATTGTTTGACTAATCAAACTAATACTTTAAAACAATATTTAGAACAACTAGAACAATCTAGAACAACCTTGGAAAGTTTGATTTTCGAAAAATGGGGTGTCAGGTCAAAAAATAATTTTTTCGATTTTTCGCGAAAATTTTTATTATATAAATTTCATCTTCTGGAACAATTTAGTACAAGTCTAGAACAATCTGGAACAACTTTTGAAATTTTAAAATTCTAAAATGGGGTGCTAACTTCACGCACATCTGACCTCGAGCTTATCCAGCAAATTCAGCGTGACGGCATTTACAGTGTTCGCTTTCAACGAGTTTTCTCTCGCTTCGCAGACATCTTTTAACGAACGAGCGGTGGGTGAGCTCACGCGAGACTCTCTGACGACAACCCGATACGTTAGATATCTCTCGTCATCCGAGGAGGTAGGACGGAAAAGAGAGAGGAGGAGGAGGAGGATGGAGACGAGATGGTTTCGGTGGATCCTTCTTCCATCGGAATCCATCTCTTTCTCTATCCTCCTTTTCACCGTGTAACACGAACCAGTTCCGCCGAGTTCTCCGATTACACGCTCCCCGGATGCGCTGGAATTCGACTTTTTTTCACCACCTTCTTCTCTCGTCGCATCGTCCGTTCTTCCGCCTCGTGCCACCTTACTGGCGAAACGTACGAAATATAATAGTGGAGATGTAAAAACCGCATTTTTCCGCCTCTTATCGTAATCACCTTATAATTTTCAATATAGTTAATTGTTTCACATTATATCATGTCACATTTTAAGATCAGAAATTAAGTTTCTATATAGAAAGTTGTGTTTTAGCACTTGATAAGGGCCGAAACCCATGGCCGAAACGTCGTAAATATTAAATAAAGATCATTAAATAGCCAGAGTTGGTTGATTAAATTACTACCATTTTTTAATTATCATCTGGTGACTTCAGAGATTTTTACATATCTTATAATTTTTATTTTGTTCTCGAAGATATTGATTGTCATTTTCGAGAATTTTTTTTTTAACAGTTATAAGGTTCTCATACTTTCGTGAAATATATACAGGACGTTCTAAAATTAAATTAAAGGCGTCTCAAAAATGATTTAAATAAAAAGCGAATGTTTCAACTTCAGCTGTTAAAGTGATCGATCAATATCAAAGTGTTTCTCCCTGATGAAATGAGCTGAAATGTTCACGAAATCAAACAAAATCTACGCGGTTTAAACCCGAAAACCAATGTTAATGATCGATCACTATTACTAGAAGGTATCTACAATACTATGCTATGCAGTGTGAGACAAATAAATTGTAATAGTATTAAGTTTGACATTTATTTATTTTGCATTTTTAAATATGTTCGCAAACGTTTGCAATAATATACAAATTAAAATCGTTTTCAGTAAAAAATAATTAAATTAGTAATTGAAAATCGAATATATTTAACTAATTGTAAATTAAAAAAAAATCTTTACAATAAATATTTAAAATGACCACCATTGCATAGCATATAGTAGACACTTTCATAGTAACATTGCTCGATCAGTTTGATAGTTGAAATTGAATCATGTCGCAAATTTTTATTTAAATTGTTTTTGAGATGCCTTTAGTTTTTGCAATTATTCATAAAACATGTACAATGAATAGATAAACGAGAAAACATATAATGACAATACTATCATAAAATATGATAATCATATCATAAAAAGGGCATTCTATTCATACTTCTTTCACTTATTATTTTGCCATAACGCGTGAAATCTCAGATTTGTCATTCCTAAAATATAATCGCTTCTAAAAATAATTACAGTCTCGACATTTTTGTATGAAGATTTTTATTTTAATATGTTCTGATGCACTATACCTAAGGATAATCTTACTTGTGACTTATTCCAGTAAGTAATATAAACAGTTAAGAATCATACTGAAGTTGGCTTTCAATCGTAAATTTTTCGATTGATACGATTCAAAACCAACTTCAGTATAGTTTTTAATCGTTTATACTACTCACTGGAATAAGTCATAAATAGGATTATCCTTAGGTGTAGATAGGATGTAAGGAATCTGCCATTAAAAAGAAACTGCGGTAGTTTTAGAAATATGTATACTGTATATATACATATATATTTTTTTAAATAGCTTTTTAGTAGTAGTATAATAGAAGTAAGTACCAATTTCTGACAATACAGTTCCTGACAATCTAGATCATGATGATTAATTGCATTTCCTCTTGTTTTTAACTAGTATTGTTTAGCCTCAGTTTAGAATTTAACATTAGGCTTATTAGAACCATTAGCCTCACTTTTTTCAGATCTGGGTTTAAGAGTATTTATCCTCAGGTTCTATATATATATATATATATATATATATATATATATATATATATATATATATCTTTTGCATAAGTGCCAAAGTAACTTTCTACATCATTAAACTTAAATTTTGAATGATTCTTTGTGTAATCTTCGTAAAAATTGTAATAAAAGTATCTAATATATGTATATCGCGTTATTTCTGAAAGATTATCAGAAATGTATTGTGTTTTTTTAAATGATGATTATTTCTTACCTCTCTTGAGCAATCCTGATATCCTGCCTTGTACCTGGACAGGCCGGGCTGAGCGAGCGACCTCTGTCGCTGTAAATGCCTGACGGTAAGCTCCAAAATATCGGCTTTCTCGAGCTTGCTGTGCTTAGTGTTCTCTAGGCGGGCGCTGTCGAGAATGAGCGCTTTCAGCGCCGCTAAAGATTGGTTGATCCTTGCTCGCCGTCGTTTTTCCATTAGTGGTTTGTTAGCCTGAAAGATGCGTCAAAAAACCTTATATATATATATATATATACATAAAACTGTTAAATATATATAACTCGCTATTTTCTCTTCAAATATACCAGTTACACTCGCATTCTGAAGTACGCAATCGTTATTCTGATTAATTAAAAATAGAGAAATAATTTTTCCCTCTCCTCTCTCTCTCTCTCTCTCTCTATCTATCTATCTAAATTAAATCCTAATTCGGAATTTAAAATACGATTAAAGATATGTATTATTGACTCAAATCGAGTATAGATCGGGTTACAGTTACAATTACATTTGTACAGGATATGAGGCTGAATAGAATTGGGAGGTTTTTTTTTTCTTTACAATAGATTAATAATTTCTTCACCATTTTCTTGCAATAATTTCTGTCTTCTCAGAAATTTTTTGTTCTTTTTCTTCATTCTTATTTTAATGTCTTTCGAGAATTGCTGTAGCGAATGATATATTTCACGTTTCGTTCATCAGAATATCAAGATTTTCCCGGTTATAGAAGATACGTGATTTCTCTCGTAATATACAGTCCCTTGCGAACATTTCTACATTCTGGCAAATCCTTCACTTTTTGGTGGCTTTCGATTCGCTGGCCAAATGCCGATGCCGTTCACGGCGGCTCAGAAGCGGATGCAAGGAGCAATCGTGGAAGCTCCGACAGAGAGATAGTCGCAGACGAACGGAGATAGAACCAGATAAAATGGACTAGACTTTAAATGGATAGTACAGTCAGTAAGCGAAGGCGTACACAACGGGTGTTTGAAAAGTTCACATAAGATTTATTTTTCATGCAATGTCTCAACGATGTGTCGTAGGATAATTTTTGCTTTAAAAAATGCATTATTAATTAATTATTAAAATATTAAATTTCTAAAGACTTTAATTTTAGAAGACTTTATTTAGTCAAGAGAAAGTGCAATGTATTGTGAACTTCTCTATACTATAAATTAATATCCTTAAAATGAATATTTGCTGTGCTTCTTGCGTTTATCATCTGATGACTGTTAAAATTGAGAAAAGAAATAAAAACAAAAACTGTACAAAAACTGAAAAAGTAGATAATAAAGGGGGAATAAAAGTGTAATAACTAATACGCAAGAATCAAGAAGATAGATATAGTGTTAACCTATTATATCTAGAAAAATTAGAAAAAAAATGGATTTGCAGAGTTTGGAGAAAAGGAAACAAAAATTACTGCAAAGAAAGATAAAAATAACACGTCACTTTGGGGAAAAAAAAAAAAAAAAAAAAAAAAGAATATGCGAAATAGCGAGACCGAATCCGTACAGAAACATTTTTGCCGAAAGAGAAAACAAATAAATATTCACCACAAAATTAGAAAAAAATCTGAAGAACGGCAAAAAAACAATGTAAGAGGTATGGAACGAATTTGCAGATTCGCCACATTCGAATGAGAAAAAAGATAATAGATATACAAGATATAAAACAAACGAAGAGGGCAACATATAACGGCAATAGAGCGACGAGAGCAAATAAAATTATATAGATTTAAAAATGCGAAAGAAAGATATGCGATAGATATGAAACGAAAGGAAACAAAAAACGATAGCAAGATATAGAGCAACAAGACGAACAAAGTCGGCTCCAACGAAAGAGGGAGGACACCGCAATTACCGTGCGAGAGTGATGTAGATGGAAAACGGTCGGCGAGAAGGATAACGAGCGACCGGAACGTATAGAGCAAGCCGGTGACCGCAGACGCATGAGCGCGACGAAGATAAGCCGAAGAAGCGAAGGAAGGTGGAGGAGGGAGAGAAGGAGGATGAGGTAAAGCCGGCGCGGTACGTTCACACGGGAGCGCCGCGACGGGTAAACAAACGAGCAAGCCGCGCGCCGCGTACTCATGTATACGTGTGCGCGTGTGTGCACACGCGCGTGTCACCGCCGACCGACTCTTGCTCCGTCGCGTCCTTCTATTATTACAAGAGCCGCGTACAAAGGAGGGGGAAGGACGACGAGTGACGGAAGGAGGGAGAAGATTAGATGCGCGTCTGTCGGCGACGCGGACTCTCGCGTGCGGGCCTCGGTACGCATAAAGAATTTCGTAAAAGAGGTAGGTATATTTAAATTTTACTTTTGAGGCTCGAAAAATGAAATTATGTTAAGGGGATGCTGACGGTGTCTGTTTTATCGACAAATATTATTTTCATTTAACTATTTATTGGCTATACAGAATGAAAAATTCTTTACTAGAATTAAAGTATTCATAATGACGAATCTGGGCTACTATGTATGTATATAAAGAAAACCAAGAAAGTTATTAATTTTATCAATTGAGTTTCTTGTTTTTTTTTTTTATATACATATATAATAGCCCAAATTTGTTTTTTATGAATACTTTAATTTTAGTAAAGGATTTTTCGAATAGCCAATAGTTAAATGAAAATAATATTTGTCGATAAAATAGACACAGTCAAGATTCCCTTAAGGATTTATTGGATAGATATACAATAACATTGTCATGAATTTTTAACTGGACATTTTTAGTAACGTTTCAAATCATGGTGAATTATTTCAAGTTTTTTTACTTGTTTATTTAAAAGTTATTAATTATTGAATTTTGCGATTTTAATAGTATTTTATGTGAACGCGTTCGAAAGGTAGATAATAAATTATTCACAAACTATGAAAAACTAATGATAAAAATAGTATTCTTCAAACGTGTAAAAATGTTTCTGCAAAGCTTCAAAACGATTTACTTGCTCGTTTTAAAATAATTATTAAAAATTACTGATTTATTGGTTTGAACATTCGGTTCAATTTTGGAAGCAGTTAAAAGTAAAAAAACTTAAACTATAGCGATTTTCTGTAAAATGTGAATATTTTTATCTCCGCTATATGTACGTCGCATTACATCCTTAAGTCGTGAGACTTTTCTTTGGTTTTAATTTTATTTGATTTTGAAAATTGATAGCATCTGATGACTACATTTATCGTCGAATGCGAAGAAATTTTAGATTTATTTTTTATTATTAACTTTTTTTATTAATGTGTCTGTTCTAAAATCAAACTTACGATCGAGAAAATAATGATAAAAATGTGTGTTAAAAATGTAATCAATAATAATATTTAAATGTTTGGTAAATAAAAAAGCGGCTTTTTATATTAATAATTTGGAGAAATACAAATTTAAAAGTGCGCCTTCGCTTGTGTGTATATTTCGATAAAAAAAGTTTTTAATAACGTTGAGTTTTACTCTTTTTTTTCTACACTATTTCATCATTTTTAAAATTAACGAACGCTCTTCTCTCATTATTGCTCTTCGTACGCGACGCGTATTAAACTCTGTACAATTTCTGCACAATGCTAAATTGCACCGTTTTTCAATAGGTATCGAAAGATAACTCCGTCACATTCGAGATAACTCGAAATCGTCGTGACGTTCTTTCACTCGACATGATGTGAAAAATATTCGCACACGCAGAAAAAATAAAGGAGAGAGCTTTTTTGCAACGTCGTGACTTTGACGGTGCCGTCGATTAGCGCGTTACGCGCGATAAATCGCGTCTCGTCGCTTGTCGCTTTTTTTGCGGCTTTGACGCGTCACGTACATACAGCACGACGTTATGAATCACCATCGTCGTGCAAACTTCACGAACAGTCAGAATTTTTAAGAGTTGTTGTTTTAATAACAGTTTGACCATAGTCGGTCACCTTTCGTAGTAATATATATATATTACTACGATCCGCAAAAACTTTCACTTTTTTAGTTACATATACAGCTTTATTAAATAATTCTTATAGCTATCTATAAGGAGCTTTTTAAGGGTCGTGACTTAAAAATTTGTGCCACTCGTCAAAATTTTGCAGAACTAGCACTTGTAATTTTAAAAAATTGATCATTTTGCAAATATACTTTTCTTTTCTATTAAAGATACAATAAGATTATTTAATTTATGCTATCACACATTTTTCTAAAAGACATAATTAAAAAATAAAGAAAAATTTAATCATTGCTTTTGTTTGATTCTGGAAACGTGATGTTATATGTATACGCGCTATTTGCTCGTTCCATTGTCATCTTCATGTGAATTGCCGGAATGAAGTATGCCTTCGCTTCGCTTATGATAAATCGATTAAAATGCGCGGGCAACGAGCGACAGGTAATTACACCGGGCATAACAACGATCCGTTAAGAGCGTCAATTATACCGTCATCCAACGACGATAGCAACGCTTCCAGCGTGTCCCGTCGTATCTCCCTATTACTTCTTTTTCATCTATTATTTCGAAATCCCACGAGACTTCTCCGTTCTCCATGCGTCCAGAAATTTATCGTTTCCAATCCCTCAACGATGATAATCCGACGTAGATGCGGTAAGGATTATGAATTTCTTATTTCACACCTTTAAAAGATATAGAGAAAGAAACGGGAACCTGATTGTGCGTGAGAAATTCGTACACACATTTTATTCATTTACTCTAAATCTTAAATTATAATATTTTTAAATATATATTTAATTATATAATTTTAAACTGATCAAATTTTTTTGTATTTTTTATTTTATTTTTTCTATTCGGTATTATTATTTAAAATAAGTCATTTTGTTTCTCGTCATTGCTTATTATATGAGCTCATGGCAAGATAGATTATGAAATTACGGCAAGAACGTTATTTCTAAGACTCCGTAATTTTTCAGAAAAAAATTAAAATTTTGAAACAATGATAGGTATTGATTCTAGCGCATTCTTTTCTTCGATGAAAAATCTATCAAATACATTTATCAAATTAAAAGAGCTTGGAAATAACATTCTTCCTATTATAAATTACAAATAAGTGAAGGGAAGGATAACTTGAAAGAGTTAATATTTTATAAATCTTTTAACTTTTGTGTTATTTTTTAAGAGATGAATCGCCTTTATTAAATTTATTTACTATTATAAATTTTTCTTTTTTTTAACTTTTAAATTTGACGCGCTATTAAAGCAGGATGATATTTTAGGTGGCGCGCGCATATTTCCCGCCGCAAATCCATTCCATTAATAAAGATGAGTGCGCAAAGTTGCCGCCCTTCGTCAACGCTAGGAAACTTTCCTAATAGGAGACGCATCGCTCGCAACGCGCGCTCGAGCGAGTGTACTCTCACGCGACGCGGATCACCTTAAAAGGGCAACACTCAGCTGCCACTTGACGCACGCGTGCACCGCTGGTCACGCACGCCTCCTGTCAGTTCTGCCCCCGCCTCGCGCTCGCGATATACGAGTGATAGAGGTTATGTATACTGAAATAGTTGCCAAACAGCTGTTTCGAATAACAGGGATATCAAATTATGATTTTGAAAATATTTTGTAATAAACTTTTTATTTAGATATTTTTAACTGAATAACCGTTCATCTCTTTAAACGTATTTAAAATACATATTGAACGTTTTGTACGTATTTAAAACAGCCATATTAGAACCTTAGACATCTTTAGGACATTTTAAAGATGTCTAGTGTTACTTTTCCGGATAATTAAAAAAATGTCCGTTTTAAGGATAAACGGATTAAAATTTAACTCTTCGAACATTGAACGTATTTTTTAGAGTAAATAGATGTAGGTATACAGGGTGTCCGATTCGTGAGTGACCAAACGAAAAGTAATGGTTTATTGGGTCAAACGGAAAAGAAAAGTCCTACCATTTTGCAAAATTCGCAATAATTCGCACCAAGTTATCTATAGCAAGGCAGTGTGAAAATGATGGCGCATCATTTTCCTATCGCCGAAGAAAACGAAATAGTTTATGTAGTATATGTTTTTAACATCTCACAACAATCAAAAGATTGCAGAAATATTGCAGACATCCAAAAGAGATAAGAAAAAATTCGTTAAAATTGTTCAAGTACTGTATAAGTTCATTTTATTTATCCGTAATAATCGAACATTTAGCTACTTTAATCTTAATAGTTGCTTTTGCAAGCTTTATATATATAGGTAATTCTCATAACGAATCTTAAATACAAGATTGCGCGTCGCATAGCGGTAAATAAAGGAACTAATGATTAATAAACACTGTCTGGTTTTAATATTTGTCGAATATTGCTGTAATAATTCTTATAAAATATTACAATTACATGTTCTTATATCTCTCCAATATTACGTTGCAACTTGTAAAATTATTATATTACTGCAATGTAATATAAATACAGTTTGAACGTCTAATAATAGATATTCTCTTAAAACATTTATATTATATCCATGGACGTTTGGACTAAATAAAAACCAAAATTGGACGTCTATTGCACATTCTGTGCTGTCGGCTTACTTATCGACTGACCTTATATTTCGCGGAATGAGCGGTTCTTTCTCTGTGCGTTATTCCCCTTCGTTATTTTAATCAAGAATTCTTATAAAAAATTTTTTTACAATTTGAACGAAAAATGCAAGAGTTGAAGTTAACTTTTTATAAATGAGATTTCATGTCATAATTATAAATAATAAATTCTATGTAATAAATGAATACAGAAACTAAAAAAAGTTTGAAAAGGAGCTGCATTTTCGTATAACATATACAAAAATTTCGATTGCGTGTTTCTGATCAACGAATTAATTGATTAACTGAATTACACCTTTAAATTACGATGCTACGAGAGCGAGCGTTTTGTGGACGATTTGTATAATAACTACCTGTAAATGCGTCCAATTATCGCAAATTGATGTTATACAAAGTGTATTCTGATACACGTCGTTCGCACCTTTGCGACTTGCTATTTATCACCGTGAGACGAAGAAAAATAAGGAAATGCCTTTGTCATATGTTTTAAAGTATTAGCAATTCATTCGTCTTCACTCAATCAGAGTGAAAGAGGAATTGATTTTCTCAGCAACTTTTAAATTTTTGCAGGCGTTAAGAAAAATATGTAACGAGCAAAAAGAATAATGATACATATGATGATATATAGATAATAAAAAGTGATTAAGAAAGGAACCTCGCAAATTCGAAAATTCTTATTTTGATGTTTATACATGTGTGGGGATAAATACATAAACTTATTAAATTCATAAAAAACCGACCAATACTGGACTAAACAATTTTTTATTGATATTCATGACGTTTAACCTGTGTTTTAGGTCTTTATCAAATGATTAATTCTTTCAAGATGATAATATAATTAAAGTAGTGTCCATTCCTAAGAACATATCTGTCACTATATATTAAAACTTGTATCTCTTAAGACATCTCGTTGGTATCACATACTTAAAACCTAAAACACAGGTTGAAACGTCATGAATTAAATAAATAAAAAATTTTTAGTCCAATATTGGTCGTTTTTTTATGGATTTAATAAGTTAATTTAATTCTTACTGGCGACTACGATACACTATTAATCAAGTAACAAATACATCAAAATATATAAATAGATGAATTTTGAAATTTTTATTTGTAATCTAACAAAAATCTAAAAAGATGAAATCATTCCTTATACCTGTGTATGTAGACTTTTCGTTTTCTGCTTTTATCGATATATCTCGAAAAATATTCGAAATATCAAAAAATGTTTTATACAAAAATTTCATAATGTAATCACCTCTATTTAAAAACATTAATAAAATTTTGAAAAAATTATTTTTTCAAAATTTTTTCAAAAATTGTCAAAAATTTTTTGTCCAAAAATTGTAGAAGTTCGATATTTTTTCTCTGCTCGAGGAAAGCTTACAGATCATCTCGTAATATGAAAAAGAATGTTAATTATCAGCAACGTGCAACCAAATAAATGCGATAACAATGTGATCAGAATTGTTTTAATTTAATTTTTTTTCGCACTTCAATTGCATGCAATTATATTTCGTCTTTCAGCATACGCACCTAATAGAACTGCTTTTTTTATTCTGCCCTCTTTTCACTGCGCAATTTTAACGGCAAATCCACGTGATGAGCGATATTTTTTATGTCCTGAGCGGTTGTTTTTTTACGATCCGGAAATGAGTGAAGGTCGCAATTTCGAATTCTAGAATCTCGAGGAATCCGCCGTATTGCGAGACTGGCTCACTTCGCAACGATAAAAGAGGGGGGGGGAGAGAGAGAGCGAGAGACAGAGGGAGGGAAGTACCCCCAGGCGTAAGTAATGCCTAGCTCGTGACTTTTTCATGCATTCAAGTTTTTCAGTCGCCAACTTTTCCTAGAGTTACTCTGAGCCACCGTTCGCAAGTTGCTGCGATTATATCGGACGGCAAGATCGCAATGTTATCTGTTTTTTTTTTACGTTTACAGTTATGTATAAAATATTTTGGAAACGCAATGTTAATTTTATCATTACGTTATAATATAATATTTAAAAGATAAAAACATCTTATATATATAATAGATGTATAAAGATATTTCTATAAACAATCAAGTTTCAAAAATGTAAAGAAAACTCTTTTTGACCAAAATAAATGATTGAGATTTTAAATTTTAACATATCTAAATAATTCATTATATTATAAGAATAATATACTAGTGAGTTGCATGTTTCGTTTTACAAAAATGTGTATTTTATGTGTAGGTGTGTAAAAATATATATATATTTGTAACTATATTAATAGTTTGTCTAATATCTCCAAAAAAGAAATAAAATGTTTTATTTTATACATTTTGAAATGACTTTCAGTATTAAATCTGTACATTTGATATAAATACAGATTTAATATACTAATATTATATTTACCTATATATTTATAACAATATACAAAGTACACGAAAAAGAAAATATTATACAATGAATTATATATTTATACAATTAATAATCTAAATTAATTTTAAATTTTAAACTTGATATACTAAAATTAATTACATGTTTTACTTTTTGTAACATTGTTACAGAAATACATGTCTCTTACATTTATTTTAACTTTATCTTTATCAATATATATCAATATAAAATATAAAATATGTAAATGCATACCTATAATATGGTATATAAATAGTTCTAGTATATTCTTAAAAAAAAAAAAAAATAATATGTTATGATAAAGAACATAGTGTGAAAATATTAATTTTCCACTAAACAAAAGTTTGATTCCAAAATTTTTGAATAATAGAATCGAGCAATTTTTTTTTAAATCAACATTTCATCTTTAATACATATATATATATATATATATATATATATCTGGAGGTTCAACTCTGACTGATCAGCAGGTTATCTCACGTAAACAGAATAATAAGGAGTTGCAAACGAGGCACGTGTCTGGTATCGGATTCGCGTCCGCGCTAGCGGCTTACGATCGGAAATTAAGCGCGCAAGAGGAAGGGGTAGGGTGAGTCACGATCTGGAATTACGCAGTCATGCGCCGTAAGGGATGTAACAGATGAGGATGTCGCATCCCCATACGACTGATCTTTCAGGTATTCTTAAAATTTCTGATAAAACTATTATCTCTGCATTCGCGCTTATCTTGCTATTCTAAACTCTACTTGCACATGTTTTGTAGATTTTCCTTGATTGACATTTCGAAAAACTTAATAATACATACCGCTTAATGTCTTTTGAATAAATTAAAAGCTTGTTGTATAACAACTTATATTTTTGACTCGTATATAGTTGGCTCATTAATTCCTTTATCTCGCTTATCGTGCTTGCGTAGGGCACGCGAGAGAGAATTGGCCGATTTTTATATAAATTAATTTCTCATTAATTATTAAGAATTTTGCAAAATGGTACAGGACTTTTCTACTCAGTTTGACCTGCTCCACCCGCATCTGACGGGTGGGGCGCGAGTTACCAGACACCCTGTATAAATATTAAAATTCTTTACGTAAGTTTACTCACTCTTCGTCCGTCCGAGTGTTTCGGGCTCGGGCTAAGGCTAGGACTGGGGCTCGGTGCCGGGCTTGGACCCTGATGCACGGCCTGTTGATGCTGATGATGCTGTCTGTGGTTGCTGCCGGCTGATTTCTTCTCCTGATGCCTCAGCGAGTGTAGACGCGCGGTCATCTTAACAGGCCGCGACGGCCCTCGGCTCTGATCGCAGCAGCACCCTACGTGATTGGGCAACTGAGGCTCTAAGCATCTCGCGGCGGCCTGCGACAGCGAGACCAGACTACCCACCCAGATTATTGTTTCCCTAGCGACTGCTGTTGTCGGTTAGCGATGATATATTACGGACTAATCACCGTTGTACCATGCCCTCGAGTGTCTCGAGAGATCAAGTATCGTGTCGGCCAAATGTCTCGGAACACGAACTCGAGCACGTGACAATGCGCATCAAAGTTCTCTCAGCGACGCTCGAATCGCTTGGAATCGTAAAGCGCAGTAGTAGCGCAGCGGTGTCACTCGCAACGCGACACCAAGGAAGACCAACGACCTCTCTGTCACTTGTCCGTCATATGCACGCGCAAGCGTTTGGCGCGCCAAATACGTCCAGAAGGAAGGAAAGTTTCACAAAAGTTTACACCAACTCTCTCACGAGCGGTTATACACACCGGCGCGCACACCGCGCCACGTGGTTAACCACGCGTCGAACCACTTGTCACTCGCGAGCGAAATAACCGTTGGTGGCTCGCGTGTTTGCCGTGTTGATTTTATCCAATTCCTCGTTCCTTCCTAGAATTGTCTCACGACTATGCACTCTGAGTAGAATCGATCAAAAAAATCGAAACGCACTTATTCACAAATACTCGTAATAAAATAATGTTCCGTTTACCGATATTCTTCGATGATGCGCGTTAAATGATATTTCTCTATCGAGATCAAAATCGAGGTTCGATTCAATCTTGTTTCGAAAAAAACTTGTATGGTTCAAAATACAAAGAGAATTTCCGAGCTCGCGTGAATTACAAACCCACTCAAGTATCCGAAAGTGCATCGACTCTCGTGTCAACTTGCATAGAAGAAAGGTCTCCTACTGTCAGAGCGATAACGAGGTATGATACGCAACGCGCGCAATTTGACTGTGAAAACGTCCACGTGTGCTCGCGCAACGAGCGACGGATGCGGACTGTGAGCTGTGAGGCGGTGAGCGGTAGCTGCTGGCGGCTGTACGCGGCGAGCTTGGCGCGCCGAGGCAACGAGGGCGGTGGTGGGGTAATGGGGGAGAAGAGACGGCTCGCGTCGTGGTTGGTCGTGCGTGGGGGGCGGGGGATATCGGAGCACAGCGGATAGCTCGGCGTGGCGCGGCGCGGCGCGGCGCGGCGCGGCGTGGCGAGATATGGTGCGGTGTGGCACAGCACGGCGCGACGCGCCCGGCGTGGCGACGGTGGCGAGTCGGTCGGAAGGCTCGCTTGCCTGCTCACGCGCGCGCCCCTGCCTGTGGCTACGTGCGGACATCTCCTGTTCCCGTTCTCTTCTCGCTCACGTTCGCTCGTTTTGTCGCGGCCGCGTCCTTTTCGCGCATCGTGCCTTCGTCTCCCTTCTCTCTCTCTCTCTCTCACTCTTTCGGAGCCGCTTTATTACCTAGCCACCGTGAAGCAGCGTCGAAGCAGGAACCGATTTGGATATCGGTAGATCTTTTTCTCCTCCTCGTCCCTCCCTCTCCACCCTTCGCTTTCTTCTTTCTCTCTGTCATTTCTTTTTTTTAATCGATGTCTGTTCGGCTGCTTCTATCCCTACGGTTTTTCGAGATAAATGAGAATTAAAACTGCCGCGCGCGCTGACTAAATGCGTTTATACGCGCGGAGATGGATACTGCGCGAAAAGATATTCGTTTCTTTCTTTTTTCGTTGCTTAAAACACAACTTGACGATATATATACGTGTTCATAGTTGATTATCTTATTTATGTATATATATACGGAATGTCCTATTTTTAAATAACGCATTGCAAGAAAAACATACTCTTGTCATTTTTAAAATATTTGCAATTTATAATGTGCAACTGCTGTTTTTTTAAACAACCATATGTGTCCTTTTACATCGATTGATTTATCTCATTATTCTGTGCAGAAAGTTATTAAGATAAGATTAAGTTTATTATACTTTTTGTCAAAATTTGTCGAAATAAAGCATAAAATATCTCGTTAATTATTCATTTTTCGACTATTTTACTCTAACAGTTATTTATGTTAAATATTACGGAGGTATCGATTTATATAAGAAAATTATACTAGTTTCATTTTTAAAATATAATAACGATATCGAAAATCTCAAAAATGCCCTTATCTGGAAGAAAACTATATTTACGACAAGACATCCTCCTTAAAATCCTACAACTTTTGTATGAAACATTTTAGAAGCCTTGGTTTTCGAAAAATAGCAAGATAGTATTTAAAATAGGTTTATTGTACATGCTACAGAAAAATTTTGCGATTCCGTTTAATTATTCAAAATATAATAAAAATTTGATATATATATATATATATATATATATATATATAAAAGAAAGACTTTAACATATTGAAGTGTCTTCATCCAAAAGATAATGAAAAAAATTGTTTTGATGATACAATTCGTAAAATTCAAAAAAATCTTGAGGAAAAAATTTATTGTGTCATTCAACTCTTTCGTCGGGATAAAAATGTGAAACAAAAACATATAAACTATTACTAAAATTTTTTTTACCCGAAACTCGAGCAACTCTCAGACTCTTTTTCGCTCGTCGCGAACTCACCCGTGGAATTCGTCTAATATTTAGCGGCTCGCCGATATCGATCTACGCATCGCCACAAATGGTATATAAAGCATTGCACGCGATTCCCGTTGAAACGTCGTCACGCGAAAGCGAGAGAGAGAGAGAGAGAGAGAGAGAGAGAGAGAGAGAGAGAGAGAGAAAAGACGAGCCCGCGCTTCTACGCATCTACGCGCGGCGTGGCACGCGATAAGGAACGTAGGGATTCGCGCGCACGTCGGGCCTTTAATCTTCTCGTCTCTCAACGTGCGCGAAAAGGCGGCGGCGGCGGCACGTCATGTGCGACGGAATAGCCGCAAAGAGGAGGAGGTGAGACGCGAAGAAGGGGCGAAAAACACCGAGGCGACGCGTCGGGTCGCGGTCGAAGGTAGGGTAGGCAGGGGAGTGAAGAGGGGGAAAGAGGGGAGAAACGAGAGAGGCGGCGTAGCAGTGGGAGCTCAAACCGTGCCGGCATTCGGCTCGGCGAGGCGATGAGCCCTCGGGGCGGCGGCCGTGCCGGCGGAACGCGCGGCGAAGGGGGGGGGAAGGTAACAAGCGTGCGACGGAAAGCGAGCGAGGGAGTGAGATGGCCGCGCCGTGCCGCGCCGTCGTCGGCACGCGCGCCACGAAGCGCGCGTTACCCACACACGCGCACGCGCTTCTCGTGAAGCGTGCACGCGGAGAGCGAGTGTGTGTGTGTGTGTGAAGCGGCAGCAGGTCGGTCGGATGACACACCGACGCCGACGCGCGCTGTGGCTGAAATCGGAGGAGAGTTTCGAGCGAAACGGTCATTATTTCGGCCGCGTACTTTTTTGATTGCGCGCTACGAGAGCGAAAAGAGGGCGAGAGGGAGCGACGCGTATCGCGACACGAGGACGATTAACGCGCGTTTATAGGAGACTTCGCGAATATAATAATGTCACGCGGCAAATATCGGTTATCTTGCCCTTTCGAAATTTAAAGAGAGAAATATCATTTAAACGTTTAATTGAATGATTTTATATTTGAACCACAATCTACACTTCATTCCTCTCGACCAATAGAGCCAAACGATTAAGAAAGAAAGAAAATTTGGAAAATTTGGAAACTAAGGAATTTGAATCCTATGGTTGGGATCTCAGAAATTCCCCTTGTTCCTTCTCTTAACATCCCCTGTAAAGAAATAAGCAAGAAAAATATTGGTCCGGAAAAAAAAAAAAAAAAAAAAAATTCTTATTATTTTATATTTGCGTTATAATATGTAGAGAACTGCTTGGACATACGTGAATATATCCATGATACCTATATGAGGATTGTTAATTTTGTATCAAGTTGCTTTTTTTATTTAAATTTCACACTTTGTTGTGACAGAGATACCAAAAAATTGAATAATGGAGCTTGGCTGTATCTCCAAGTGCCAAACTCGCATGTCAATGAAATTAACGCGCACGTGCAATAAATAAAAAATAGAGTTGTGTCACAATCGTTCAACCCTAAAAATGTCAAAGCACTCTTTTCTCTCTCTTTCACAATAGCGTAATATTTCGTGGACATTTTTATGTTCTCATTAGAAATTAGAGAAAATATTACATTTCATTTTTTACCTCTATACCATCTTGTACCAATCACCCAGTTCCAGCAAACCTGACTCGAGAAGCGAGCGAATTTTTAATTTAAAATCTAATTCGCGCTACCATTCGTGGCGCGCACGTGTATGCGCCACGTTGTTATCGCACTGCCTCTCCACCGCCTCGTATCGACCCGAGACATCGACGAGCAACGCTCCGCTGTGCATCACGAATCATACGGAGACCGGGGATTATTTTTCATCGCATCTCCGCCGTTCGTCGGAATAATAGCATCCACTAGTAGAGTAGTTCGTAACCATAGTCGGAGATCTTCTAGATTACCGCCTTCTATAATAAGGAGTCCACTTCTTTTTACTCTAGTCTCTCATGAGCACTCATCTCTCTTTCTTCAAGTTTTTTTGCCTGGAGCGAATGCGTGTGTTCGTATGTGCCGTTCAAGCGCTCGCACACGGAAATCGCGAGATTTTATGAATGTGAAAGGATCAATTCCGATGGGTGAAAAGTAGCTAAGGAAAAAGCAGAGAAGAAGGATGATAAGAGAAGGAAAGGGGAAAGCTCTTCTTAAGAGTACGCTGGTACTTCAATGATCCATACGCGCTTTTCGCATAAAACTTTTTCTTGATATAATACGATAAAAAAAAAAAAGCAACTTCTTTCTCGTAGTCTCGTTTCTATTCGTATCCAAATGGTCACACGACGTCCTTGTGTCGAAGAAAATATAAACACGGATTTTATCCACGTCAAATGTCACCTCGACTTGTCCGTGACTCTTTTAAACACTTCCTATATTGCGTATTCTTTATTATGAATCCGCAAATAAATTTATGCAATTTGCACATTCGAACTGCGCATACAAAAAAAGGCGTTTTCTTTTATCAAATTAACAAAGGAGTATACCAAATTGGGAAAATTTTATGATACGAAACCAATCGTTATGAAACTTGACACAGATATAGTATGAAGTAAAATATGAAAAAATCTAACCGAAATCGAATGGCTAAATGGCCATCGACAATGACGAAGGAGATAGAAATGGGTAAAATCAGTACGGGTTTATTTTATAAAATTCTATGAACTCTAGGCACACTTTTTTTCTCCCCATTTATGTAGCCAGCAAAATTATGCAGTGTTTGCGACATTACCAATAACGTTATTCTATTGCCAAAGTAAGATTGTGATGAGTGATAAATAGATACTACCGCCATATGACACATCGGACACATTTTCTGATTTTTAACCAATTTTCGCAATTTGATATACTCCTTTAATGCTTTTAATGATTTATTTCTACTTGTGCGTGCTTATCTTTTCATCTTACCATCTTTTCACCTTCATCGAGCTACGACATGGAATTGAATTGAAATCGCGCGGCGAGCGATCACAATCAGCTATAGAAAAAAAGCTTGAGGCCGCGCATGACTTGATTTACGACAAAAACTTTCGGAACACGCCGTAGGCGGCCAGTAGCGCGATGATGCGGAGGGTTCATCCTACTGTGGGAAATCCCACACAAGGCAAGGCTCGCACGCCGCTGGTTAGATAGATGGATGTATATATGTATTCTATGTACCGCGTTCTCATCCCCGCTTTCCGCCTCCTCGAGCTGGGTTCGCCTCTGCGAAACGTGCCGCCTGGCTTGACCGTACCTACCGGGTGTCGTTGCAAAAATAGAAAACTAACAGAAATGTCAACGTTATACGAATTATCTTATATACGCATTACGCTCGATATAGATATACCTGTACAAATCTCTGATTGAGTTTTTTTAAGATTTACAGGTCGTATTATAATAAATTATTTTGATATAATTATTTATTTTATTTTACTATTACAGATATGTTAATTTCACGTTCAACGATGTCAGTTTTTTTTTTCATCGGTCGGAAAATTCCTACCGTTAACATTTAAATCGAGCTACGAAGCCCGGAAAGATATGTTGGACTAATCTGTAAAACATATAAATCTCGAAAAAATATATTTTCATACATATACGGGGTGCCCGGTAATAATCGCTAGATTCCTAGTGTAAATAAAATAGATTTAACCGAGTAGAAAATTTTTCTATCGTTTTACGATCGTAATAATTAATTAAAAAAGATGAGTTAATCCACACGTGAAAGAGATATCCTTATGTTTATCTCGTTTAATCATACACTAGAGGTGATGCGTTTATTACCAGATAGATATATCTTGTATATATTATATGTATATGTACATATTTTGAGCGCTGTGATAAAAAAGTACCTTCTATTTTATTATTTCATATATTTTAGTGATTAGAATTCACGCCGAGATCTTATATTACATAAATCTTATAAATCATAAGTCAAATCGTAAAGAGATCGATATATAGGGTATATCACGCATCTTAAAAATCGAAAAATTTGAATTCTTTTTTATATTTGAATTAAAAGTTTAGTTTTGGTTTGATATAACAATAAATTAAGAATCATAATATTAATTATCTAACAACAAATAAATAGTAAAATTAAAATAACAGAAGGTGTTTAAATTATTATTGTTTATACATGATAAAATTTCTAGATTTAAAACGCATTATTTTGATTGTGACTTTTTAAAGAAGACTTAAACGCAATTTCATTATTCTTTATTTTCGATTTGTTTTAACTTCGTAAATTCATTCTCTAAAGATAGGGCGTGACTTAATTGTTATACATTATATGTATCTTTAGGAGAAAAAGTCTTTGGATTTAATCTGCGCGACCACAATTAATTAATTTATCGATTTGCGTTTCGAATTGTCCATTTCTGAATTTTCCTCTTCGTACGAGAGAATCTCTCGTCAGTATGATTGCATCGCAAAGTTGCGTTCGAGAAATCAAGCCGCGTTCGAGCGCTCGACGACTTTGATACTCCGGTCACGTCGAACTCGACCAAAAAGTGCCTTGCCTCTCCTCTCATAGACTTCCTCCTTCCTTTCACCTTGATTCCGCGTATCTCGCATGTATTTCTCTCCTACCATTTTGCCCATCCCATCCCCTTTAGAGAATCCTGATCGTACGCGCACATCGAACCATATAGATACGTATAGTTTCGTGGAACATGTTTCAGCACCTATGTACATATATAGAATTACACGAGATCTGTTTGAGAAGTAGTACCTCTTCTTCCTATAATACTTACTTTATAATAGTAAGTAATGAAGAATTTTTTATAATAATCATTTTTCATCTCTTCCTCTTCAAATGGCACATCTGAATTTTCAGAAATAAGATTCGACTTGTGCTATTTAAAAAACAAGGTATTAATATTAGTTCTTTACACCTTAGGTCTGAATGAGAGAGACAAGAAATTGAGATCACAAATCCAAATGAATCGCAATCTATTAATTATATTTAAATCAAATTTATATGTAATTATAGAATTTATAATTGTTAAATATCCCGCACTAATCTTATGTTAAATAAATTTCGATTAAATCAGTTGGTTTTTTTATATGTTGTAGCTTACGCTGAACACACGCAATAGCCTCAAAGTTAAATAATGAACAATTATTGAATTGCAATCAGTCAAACAGCTCGTAAAGCCTGAGTTATTCATGTTTGACTGATTGTAAACCAGTAACTGTCTATTATTTAACTTTGAGCCTATTACATTTTTTATTCAGCAATTTATGACATATAAGAAAACCAGCTGATTTTATCGGGATTCATAATTTTATTTAGAATTTCATATACATTCACAAATTCCACACTAAAAAAATCCTATATAAAATCTTAGTTGAATCTTCGTAAAATCTGCTGGTTTTCTCTCATATGTAGTTTTATAATCCGCTAAACAAAAATGTAATTGGCTCAAAGCTAAATAATAGTTACTGATTTACAGCCAGTCAAACACGAAAAACTCAGATTCTTGTAGTTGTGTTTTGATCTACGAAATGTATTTTACATAAGATTAGCAGCTCATACATAAATTGAAAAAAAAAAAAACAAATTGTTTCGATTTAAATATAATAATAACATAACAATTATTATAACGAATATACAACGTGATGTGATATGTTAAATATTTACTGTCAAAAAATATGTGATAAAACGAAAATTCCGGTAGTCTCATCGCGAGAAATCGCTCGCCCTACTGTGCATGTGTATGTATCTATATATAAATCTACGTCGTGCGGGCAGCTAGCCGCACAGTGTAGACACATCCACACACACACATATCTGAAGATCGCCGAAGAACCTACCTACTCACGAACGTCAAACCCATTATTCTCGCAGACGCCGGGCGGTCGGTCGGTCGGTCGGTCGGTCGCTCTCGGAAAGCGCGAAACCAAGCAATGATGATGAGAAGCAGGAGGAGGGTACGAGAGAGAGAAAGAAGGACGAAGACACGCGGTGAAGACGCAGCCGCGGGGCAAAAGCGGCCGAGAAAGGCGAGAGGCTATTTTGTCCCGCGGCGAAGACCCACAAGAGCTCTCCGACGACGAGACGGACTAAGAAAAAGGAGGAAGAGGGAGGAGACGACCGAGCGAAGATGACGGTAGCCGGGCGAAGCGGCGAAGTGGAGAAAAGAGGGAAAGGTGCTCCGAAGCTTTTTGCGAGAGCGCGCCGCGCCGCACCGCGCCGCGCCGCGCCGTCACGTCGAGCCACGCCGTGTTCCGTGCCGAGCCATGCCATGTCGCGGTTAAATCGACCGCCGTCGCAGCTAAGCCGACGAGGCGCGCCCAGGCGGAACTGCCAAGGCCGCGGCGCGCTCTTGACGCTCTCACGCGTGTATATGTGTGTGCGTGTCGCCGTGCCGCGCGACACGCTCACGGGCGTGTCGTCGACGACGGCGCGGCGGCGGTGCACGGCCTGTGAGGTGATGAAGCGAATTCACAACGGGCCGTGGCGAGACATTACGCGCCGCGACGAGAGACGAGGCTCATTAGCGCCGCGCTCTTCTGATCCTCTTCCCCACTCCGTATACTGTATACTGTATATACACGGTGTCCCATTTTTAAAAATAAACTCGAATGATTAAGAGAACAATGTTTTAAACCAAAGTTGTTTGACTTTGAGGGAGAAAGAGGTTGATGATCTTGAATTTTAATTATAGTAATTTTAAATCAATCTAGTTTTTTTTTCAAAATAAAATTTCACTAATTGTTTAATATAAATCGATTTTTTAATATAAATTCTTTGCAATACATGACATAAAAAATTATAAGAGTATGACTGTAGAAAATAAAGAAACAGTATGTAATTTACAACTAATAGCTACATATTTTTTTAAAACCACTAGATGTTTTTTTTTACATCAATTTGTTCCTTTCACTATTCTGAATATAAAAGTATTGGGTAAGGTTACTGAAAAATGAATATTTTACGAGAGAGAGAGAGAGAGAGAGAGAGAGAGAGAGATTTCAAAGTTTATAATGATGTCAAAGTATAAAAATATCTCATAAACTATTCACTTTTTGGCCATCCTACTCATCAATAACTTTTATGCCAAATAATGCGAGGAATTGATTAATATAAAAAAATAATGATAGTTCTGTTTAAAAATGTCTAGCTTGATCTTCAGATAATCTTAAAAATTACCTTAAAATTAATTAAAACTCAAAATTATCAATTTTTTCTGTCAAAACCAAACAACTCTCGTTCGAAACATTGTTTTCTAAAATGTGATGTTTCTTAATTATTGAAACTTCGTTTTTTTAAATGGAACACCCTATATATACGTGCAAAACAAGGGATGGAAAGTAGTGTGGCATGCAAATGCATGTGATCTTGTTCCTTTAACGCGATAATTCGCGACGCTTTTTATTATAATTATATGAAGGAAAATTTCTTAGTTGGTACTGATATTAAACGTGCGATTTTAAAATCGTAGACAGTTTGTCCGAACGATTTAAAGATCGTAGACTGTTTGACCAAATGATTTAAATCGCATTTATGTTGATAATAAGTAAGTACATATATACTATACTGTCAAAAAATTTGAGACCAGAAAAATGTATAAATTTAATTTATTGTTTCTACGCCAAAAATAATGCAAAACTATTTTTACTTTTATGGTGTTATAATATAACTACAAGATCTTATAGCTATTAATAAAACAATCAGCGGAATGTCATATTTTAACGTGTAATTTTTATTTTGTATTTTTTTCCGTGATCTTTATTTATTACTTTGGTCTTAAACTTTTATATCGTATATCGTAAAACAAAACATATTGGAATTTCTCAATGTCAAATAACTTTATAGTTGATTTTGATTTGCAATAAAAAATCCCTGAAAAAGTCTATATATGTACATATACCGTTATTAGACAGTACAGAATATACATTGCAGCATTGGGTGCAAAATTTTCATAAGTGTCAATAATTTTTAAAGTGTCTAAAAATATATAAAAATTGACCGTTCATAAATATATATTGGTATAATTATATTTAAAAAAATATGTCTTTATATAATGTTTTTTTTTGTGTATAAATCTCTATCTGCATGGAGAGGAAAATTAATAAGAATTTAATTATTCTTATAATTAAAAAATAATTAAAATAATCTGCATCATTTTTAGAAAAAATAAAATTTAAAGAAATAAAAAAGTACTTATATAGTCATATATACATTTCAAAAAATGTTTATTTCTATTCTTCTTAAATACAGAAATTGAAAATATATGTTGAGAGATATATTGTACATATGTATAATTGTATACATATATTTATGTTTAAATTGATATTTAATTAAATATAGATCATTTTCCTGAATTTCTGACTGCAATGAACATATCTTATTGTCAATTTTTTAGAAGAGCTTACAATAATTTTTTCTAATTCACTACTTCATCGAGCATCCACAATAATTTACCACCTTTTCATCCCATTATCATTAGCGAAATATCGCTCTACTATAATATCGTTCGGACATGTATATATATCACGCGCGCGACACATAACTGTATAAAGTTCCAACCATGCCATACCATGACATACATATACCTGACGAACGTGTCTTACGTCGCTCATCAGTGTGTTGGATAATCGACGAACACGCGTTCGACAGCGCCGCGTGACGTAGAATATACGGGTGTGTATTTTTAATGAACCTCACCGGACTCACGCGCGCGTGCGACTATGCAAATGCATTTTGCATGTATGTACGCACCGCTTTCCACAAGTACATATACATATCTACCTGCTCGCGACGTCAATAACAAGTGCGCGCGAATAACATATCTCCTTTTTCTTTTCTCACTCTCGATTTGCAGCCCATCCTTTGGTGGAGTGATAAGTAATTGCACATAAGCAGATTTTATGTTTTTCGAGAAAGGAGGGAAAAGTTTGTATATGCGTAAAACATTATTCGATTTTGTGCAATCTAAAATGTTAATAAAAAGTTTCAGTTAGAGAGAAAGAGACTGATAGATGTATTCTGTAACATACTTTGAAATAAAGATTATAATAAAAATGTAGAGAAACAGAGAAAGACATCTTGCCATTAAAATAAAATTTGTAATTTGCAATGTGCAACTATATACTTTTTTTTTTAAATATTCTATGTTTATTTTTGCATCAGATTGATTTATCTCATTATTCTATGTTGATAATTTAAGGTCAGATTATCGAAAAATAAGTATATTAATATTTTTAGTCAAATATATCAAAATAAAGCAGAATATCTCTCATCGTAAACCATTCGTTTCTCAACTCTTCCGCTTTAACATTTTTTTATTTTTTACAAATATTATGAGAAATCGATGTATGTAAGAAAATTATGATGATTTCGTTTAAAAAAGTAATGATTTTAAAATCTCAAAAGTGTCTTTATCTGGACTAAAACTATGCTTACATTCCTCCTGAAATTTCATAATTTTGTTGAAACATTTTTTTCGAAAACGTGACGTTTCTTCATTATTTAAGCTCATTTTTTAAATGAGATTTTAAAAATCCTGTGTAAATATAAATTAAATTTCTACGATGGAATTTCATCAGTCTGATATTAAAAGAAAGGCAAAAGAATTCATTCATTTGTTAAATAATAATGTATAATGTCAATGTTAATTCTAGGGTTTGCGTTTGTCGCTCAGGTCATTTTATTGATGAATTTATAATTTATACAATTGTGGCAGAGCATTAATATAGGCTTATAATAAATCTCATACAGTACAATCTGCAAAATATAATGTAAAACATGTTGGAGATATAGATAAGATACATAGAATAAAACACACGTACACATATATTTAAATATTTAGTCTCGATCAAAACTCACTTATATATATTACAGTTTACAGTTAAAGAATTTCTCTATTTTTATAATCTTTATAATATATATTTATAATTTTATAATATATACTTATATATCCTAATAAAATTGTGTTTTGTTGTACTTAAAAATTGATGATAAAAATATAAAAAAATATTTACTGCGCTCTTTAGAATTTTCCAATTATTTTTTACACATACACATAATATATATATACACACACACACATATATATCCTATATATATAAAACTATAGTATCCTTAACTAAATCGTCGTGCCTAACCACGTATAACGGATAAAATCTGAAAGAAAAGGAGACGGATGAAGAGTAAACGAGATAGAGAAGGTTTCGCTCGATGGCTTCGGCATCGATCGTTCTCGAAGAGACGGAATGAGGCGAGAGAAGGGAGGGAATGAGAAGCGAGAACACGAGCGCTAGAAATTCGAGACGCTCGGTGTCGAAATGCTATCCGGCATGCAAGAAAGGACAATCCTCATTAGCGAGAGCTTGCGGCGACGGCGACGACGGCGACGGCGGCGTGGCTCGGCGTGGCGACGGTATGACGTGCGGCGCGGTGTGGCAGCCACGTGCAGCACGCGCGAAATACACCGCGCGGAATGCCGTAGATAGGATAGTTGGGGTAGATTGAGGATGAGACTGTGCGCCGCTTCTCTCTTCTCGATCGCGCGTCGCCGTCTTAATTCGCGTACCCCCGTTACGTTATTGATAAATAGTTCGTACGAATTAATGAATCGTTTAGCGAATTTGTGTGCATAATTAGAATTATGTGTTGAGATCAAATACGCGCGATCTGTCTTACTCGTATTGGAATCGTGACGTAGACTTTAGAAGGGAAAAATTATTTTTTAGGGTTTTACCTTTCTACACTTTTTTTCAAATTAGAAACTACAGGGGGTAGACAAAATAATGTGAACACCTATGTGAAAGAGAGGTATTTATATATGTACATTAATTAAATGTTGGGCCATCATTTGCCCCTTTTCCAGTGTTGGGCCACCATTTGCCCCCTTTCCAATGTTATCTCATTCTTCCATCCGCCAATTGCCTTAGAGATAGATGTTGAAGGAGGAAATCCGCTTCTCAATCTTCTTCAAAACTGCCCACAGTTCGATGATATTAAGCCATTAAAATGCCCAAACACTCTCCCTGGCCAGCATAATTACCAAACCCAATTATCATCGAACCACTATAGGCAGTTTTGGAGAAGAGATTGAAAAAACGTTTGATTGGCTCAATGATATTCAAATTTGGTAATTGTGCTGGCCAGCAAAAATATTTAAACATCTTAATAGCTTAATATCATCGGACAGTAGGCAATTTTGAAAAAGTGAGAAACATATTTCCTCCTTCAACAAAGCAATTAGTAGATACAAGAATGAGACAACATTCCAATTAGAAAAAAAGCAAATGGTAGCCCATTTTATTAACAAACAAATATA